ATATTCATGCCAGGATTTTCCTGGCCGATGGCCTCTTTCCTGTCTGGTTGGATTCCCGACCTCCTTTCTAAGTTGGACCTTCCTTTCATCCTTTCCTGGGATAGGCCTCATAGACTCCTTTCTGTTGGCTTAGACCAGCCTTGGGATGTTCCATGGATGTTGTCTTTGTCCTCAGATCTAAGATCCTCTGAGTACATGGCTGCTTGGAGGACAAAGGCATCCTCCAAGTCCTTTTAAAAATATATTTTTAAGTAACTTCATTGTTTTTAATTTTTTAAAATTTATTTTTTGAAACTAGGAATCAAAGTCAGGACCTTGCACTTGCAAGGATTGGCACTTGTGCACAGAGCTATGTCCTCAGCCTGAGAAACAGTCTTGAGACACTGTCCGTAAGGCCTGCTCCTCAAATGGCCTTCCCATTGCTCAACATGGTCATGAGACAGTAAGAGGCAATGTATAGTCCACCGACCCTAAGACCGTTCTCTTTTGTTCTAAAAAGGGTGCTTGCTGTCAGCTCGTGTGTCCCAGCCTGTGAAGGTACAGGCAGGAAAGTTCCTTTTCAGCTTCACAAACTTGCCTTCTGAGCCGCCTTGGCCACACAGGGGTAGTGAAACCTTTTAATAGGACATAAACAAAGTGAAAACCTGCTTTTAGAAATTTGTTTTTCATCAGTTTCAATGGGTGTTTTTGACTCCTGCTGGCATAAATAGCATTTTTTAAAGATAATCTTAAAATTTAATCCTGATGTAATGTTTTGACAAAGAATGCACTTTTGTAAATAATTTTAAAACTATGAATGAGTTCAAGAAGTTTTATATAAGTTCCTTAGATAACATGATTTAAGTTATACTTCTAATTTATTTATTAATTTTTAAAGTATTTGGTTGCTACAGGGTCTCACTATGCAGCTTGGACTCATGGTGATCTTCCTGTTTTTAGTCTCCTCAGTGCTGGGATTATAGGCCAGGGCCACCACGCCCAGACTCTGTGGCCAGTTCAGCACACCCAGGGGCAGGGCTGGTATGGCATGTGCTGTAGGGGATCAAGCCCCACTTGCCTAAGCTTGCCTAAACATGTGCCTTAATCCACTGAGCTATAACCCTAGCCTTAAATTATACTATTTCAAATATACTTAGGCTCAGCAGAGTTAAATGAACCAATGTCTATTTTGTAGCGAATCTGAGAACATGTTTTCAAATTTTCCCGCCTTAGGTTAACTAACACAGCTGTCAGCCAACATTCTGTCCTACAATATTTCAGGCTTCCTCTTCTGTTATTGTTTGTAGAAAGACAAACTGTCTGAAAGCAATTCTTCAGTGCACAGATCTGAGCATTGTTGAGGCTGGCTAGGTAGGTGTTCAGGTCTCAGCTGGGATTCCTCGCGGACCTCACTGTCCTCTGTTTGGCTGCAGATTCCGTCTCACCTGTGGCTCCCCAGGAGCAGCTGTGCTCCTCGGGCTGGGGTCCCCGGGGTCTTCCTTCCTTCAGCTCTAATATGCGGAGCTGGGACAGGGAGAATTGCAGAGAAAGATAGCAGGGGGCTAGAGGGTTAGCTCAGTTGGTTATGCCCCTGCCTGGGCAAACCCAGTCAGGCACAGGAGACCATGGCTCGATCCCCAGCTCCCCATGCTTTACCAGACCTGCCCTTAAGGCAGCCTGAGCTAACCACCCCTTCCCCCAAAAAAAAATTCTTCTCAATTTTTGGAGCTGGTGAGATAGCTCAGCGGTCTAAAGTGCCTCCTTAGGCAAGGTTAGGCAAAGTGCAGGGACTGTGGTTCAGTCCCCCCAGGGCACCACATGCCGGCCAGCCCCACTCCCAGGGTGGGATGAGGGGGCAGAGAGAGAGGGAGAGAGAGAGAG